CCCTCACTCACAGCTCCCTCATGATAACCAAGAACTGTACAAGTCCTTCATGTGTGTGTTGTGTGTTTTGTATCCAGCCATGGGTTTCCCTGGACGGAGACTGTGTTTTTAACCCGTGACTTATCCCCAGGGTACTCGGACAACTGTTAACACTATGGTTTTGCTAATCTCGCAGATGGTTTTGCTAATCTCAGTTATTGGAGTGACTTTTTATTCTAATGGGCATCATATTTGGAGTCCTTGCACCCTCCCCCCCCCCTCAACATTCAACATACACTGATTTTAACCTATGACACATAAAGAGTCCACAGGCCTCTGGTAACATGGTTTTCTTGTGTTATTTGGGTCGGTTCTTAGAATATCCAGATGTCCTAGCAGCATATTCCGAGCCCATGATACAAAATAAATTAATAAGCAGTTGTCGGAATACTTTTCCTCATTTATGTGATATACTTATGCAATGAATTTAATGAAAATTCCTGCCTCTATAAAAGATTCACTGTATTTGAAGGCAAGTTGCGGAATTTGTAAGGAAACCTTTAGAAATAAGTGCACTGCATTCCATGATAAGTAAGTAAATCTTTCAACTGTCTAATATCCCGATTTGTTCATCAATGGTAAGAGTTAATTTTGGCAGCTAGGTTATTTTAGTTACACGACTGCACCTCTCATGAAACATAAGCGGAGTTGAATGGAAACATGCAAAAATTATGTTATATGTTTTCAATATGTCCACCAGATTCAGTTGTCAGTTTTCTTGGATGTAGCTGAGTTATTTGTATGTGAAATTTTCCGCTACCGGAAACGTTCATGGGCCTTGCTACAGCTGTTCAGGATTAATTTATGGCAGCAGAATTGCTGTTAATGGTGCAAATTGCTATTCTTTAAAAAGTCTCATTTATGAAGCATTGGCATACCTACTATTATCACATTATAATCCTGTATAATCTGCTAAATTTTTGGATTTTGTGTCTGATTTGCCACTACTTTATCATATTTAATCATTGTTTCAGGCCTTAATCAAAAGTCGGGTTGCAGGCTATTAAGCTGCCTGTTCCATCCCATTGAAAAAGTTCTTTTTTCTTGGAATTCTACATTTGAATAATGACCCCAAGTACATTGATGTCCTGTTAAAAAGAAAAAACTAAAGGAACCTCAAACTGATAGACCTCTGTTGCCACACACATTTTACTTACCTATCATTTCGATATTCTTGTCTGTCCCAGCTCTGTTTGATGAGTTAATTTTTAAAAATGTAAAACTTTCTTAAGACTGTAGTGTTTCTTCGAAGTGGATGCAAAATTATTGTGTAACCCTGACTGCTAGGAAGAAAGTCCTTTAATTTATGTAAACAAAAAATTGAGAACTTTTTAAAGTTGTCAGTCAAACGTCAAACATCTTTGCTTGTTTGTTTTGTTTCTTATTGTTGGTCATGTCAGGGATATCTTTAAAAAACTGCTCCTTGATGATGTCTTGTAGATACATTTCTTCTGAAACTTTATAAGTAAGAACCATATTATTCGCTCTTTTTTTCTATCTAGTGTGATTACTGACTTGTACAAAAGTTCTGTATTAATCAGTGAAATAATATGTATTGTTACAGTAGTGTTTATTTTATTTTGGTGTATTCATCTAGGTTTTACCCTCTAAATAGATCAGTAGTTCTGTTTGATTTCAGCTGTCCCTCATTGTGTCCTTTTAAAAAACTGGCATGTGCACGTATGGGTTTGCGTGGAAAATGATAACATGCTTTGCTTCCTAACATATCTTTTTACACCCATAACCCGTTCTTTCTTTTTTGCATCTTTGGCGCATGTTTTACGAGCTTGGTTTTTTTTTTGTTTTTTGGGTGTGATTTTTAAGTGCATATATTGCATTATGACTTTTTTTTCTTTCTTATGTGTGTGTTTGCAGTATGAGCTTATGTAGGTGTTCTTCTTGCATGATAGACACGGTATATGCAGGTTTAAATCCTGAAGTTTCATTTGCCATACTCCTTGTAGGTTTTGAGTATGAATGTAATGATGACATATTCATGACTATTTATTCTATCAGCAGTTTTCAGTTTGATTGAAAATTATGATGCAAAGCTTATCCAGTTAAACACAGATCTGAGTCATGAATTAAGTTTTTGCTTTCAAAGTAAATATTTTATTATTTATTGTTGATTTCAGATTTCCAGATATTCTGATCTGATATTGTCTTTAGAAAGTCAGAGAACACTAAATCTAGAATATCTCCCTCCTCCTCCCCCCCCCCCCCCATACCACAAACACACAAACCTGGATGCATGGTCTAGTTTTATTGCCTCTCAAATAGTAACATGGTTTCTCTGGTTTGGGGGAAGGAGAGAAAAGAGGTGCTCAAAGTTTAGACCCTACTGCACCCATTTGTTTTCTCATTTTCACATGCTGGTGGTTGGAGGGCACCTCTAGTAGGTCCTACTTCTTTACGTTACTCTGTCTGTCTGTCTGTCTGTCTGTCTGTCTGTCTGTCTGTCTGTCTGTCTGTCTGTCTGTCTGTCTGTCTGTCTTACTTTTTCCCAGTACTGAATGATAAACATCTTTTTAGCTCTGAATGGTCCTTATCAGGTTCACATGTCCTTTTTTTCCAACTCTGTAAAAAAGTTGTCTTTTTTTTTTCACAAAAGATATTCTCATAATCATCAGTTTGAGATTCACAGTACGCTGTCATTCATCGGTATTATCTTGATCGACAACAACAACAAACAGTAACAACATCATCCACATCATACCCTCTGATTTGGTACTTTCACAAGTTCCACCTCAAGGGCATGAGATGATGTCAATGTCAATTTTTTCCCTTCTAATTTATTCTTAAAGACTTTTGTCAAGTTTTTTCCAAAATTTATTATTAGGGGTATGGATGAGATGTCTTGACCTGTTTTTGTTTTTTTTTTCAAAAAATTATTCCCATGGATCGAGATGACGTAAAGCGCGTGCACGCCCCCCCCCACCCCACCCCCAAACTATTCTTATGCATGGATATAAGATGATGTACATTTTTATCCCCAAAATTTATACTCATGGGTATAAGAGGATGTAAATTTCCCCCCCCCCCAAATTTGTTATCATGGGTATGAGATGATATATAAAGAGATGGGTACATACAAGATGATGTGGTGTGTTTTCCACCGTCCGTGTTGGTCCTGACTGTTTGCTTCTTGTTCCCACAGCCTCCGAAGCCTTCGAAAGGACCAGAACGCCCCCAGGCTTCAGCAACTCTTACCTCAGCAATACAACCGACCCTCACGCAGGTAGGAGTCAGCTCCTTTTTGCGTGGGCGCTCAACACATGTTTTACGGTTCGGCACATTCTGACGGAATGTGTCGACTTCGACGATATACGCATAAAGTACTTCAGTTGTAAAGATGTCGAAACCCCCCCTTTTGACATCATTAGTCGGAGAACAATTTTGAGTTTTATAAAAGAAATAAATAGGATTGTTTAATGGGGTATATAAATGTATAGTTGTGGCTGTCTGTGTATATACATACACTGAAATTAGTATTGTAAATACTAATGTTAATAGAGTCTTTACCATATTTACAAAGATTTTTATAAATTTCTGTCCGTCCCTTTAACGTGATGATGATATGACCGTATGCAGTTGCGAGCGCCGTAAAACTCTTACTAGAACATAACATGATGATAGATTCATGGCAGTAAAACTTGTTAGCACTTTACATAACCAAAATTGAGTAGATAGTGCCATAAAATACCTACTCAATCCATCAATCAAAAGGTAGGAGTCGTCATTGTCATCCCAATTCCTTCTTTCGAGTTTATCTGCTTCTCTGGGGAGTGTGATGATTTTTTTTTTTGGTGTGCATTTTAGGACAACCACAGCATTTTATGTCCTGTCCCTCTTGTATTATATATGCAATTCCTGTGTTATTCTGGTATGTATTTCACAGGGTCAAGCAGTTCGAAAAGTGGGGGCCATACTTCATATTTATGAAACTTTTAAGGAAGATCAAAGTCCCACCAGTGGGTGGTTGGTGGGTGCTCTGGTGTGGTTTGCTGCTTGCTTCTTCTTTCCTCTCAAACGTCTATCGTCCTTATTTCCCCTACTTCTTTTTTATGTTTGTTACTCTCTTGTAACACCTCTAGTCTCCTGGCGCTCATATGACCTTATGCAGTTGCGAGGGCCGCAAAACCTCTACTAAAACTAAAACTCTCACCAGCGTCTTTGGTGTAGCGGTTAGGCACCTCGCTGTCGCACACTGGAGGCCCGAGTTCGATTCCCGAGTTGGGAGAAATTTGTATCGAATATCTCAGTTTTTCTGCTGGGGTGTTGTACCCCTCTTAACCTGGGTTAGCCCTGACAGGCAGGGTCTGAAACTCGCCTCCTAAATGAGCTAAATTGTTCTGATGGGGCTTAAAAACACATAAAAAAACAACCATAGTTCATTTCAAACAACCAGGGTTTGATGAGTTGGTTTCTAACCCCCTCCTGTGGGTGGTTGGCAAGTGCTCTGGTGTGGTTTGCTTCTTCTTTCCTATCAAACATCTATCGTCCTTATCTCTCCTTTTTTGCGTTTAATTGTTATTCTCTTGAAACACCTCTAATCTTCGGCACTTATATGACTTTATTGTGTTGCAAGTGCTGTAAAACACTTACTAAAACTAAACTGGCCCCCCTCCCCTCCAGCTACAGTTTGTGGTTGACGGGTGCTCTGGTGTGGTTTGCTTCTTGTTTCCTATCAAACATCTGTCGTCCTTATCTCTCCTTCTTTTTTAAAAATGTTTTTTACTCACTTGTAACACCTCTAATCTTCTGGCGCTCATATGACCTTATGCAGTTGTGAGTGCCGTAAAACCTCTTCTAAAACTAAAAACTAGCAAGTGCCGCAAAACACTTACTAAAACGTAACTGACCCCCCTCCCCATCTCCAGCTACAAGAGGAGTACAGAAAGGAGTTCCGGCGCATCGGTCGGCCGCTGCCCTTGCTGGACGTGGTGCAGGAACTGCAGAACGCCTTTGACCTGGCCGAGATGTCGTGCCCGGGCCTGGCGGACGACCTGGTGGCCGGCGTCCTCTCCCGACTCCTGGTGGCCTCCTCCGGATCCAGCTCCTCATCGGCTGACGAGGCCGAAGCCTGGAAGGCTCTGGACAAGATAAAGAGGTGAGTGTGTCCCTTAGATACTCATGGTGTAGTCTTGATTTGCCCGTACAGTTGAGTTGAATCTGCTGCAACGACCACTTGTCCAAGATAATGGCTATAACTACAGTCAAACACGGGTAACCTGAATTCGTCTGGAAATGGAAATAGTGTTCGAGATTTCTGTAATTTGTCATGTCCGTGAAAACCCCAAATACAAAGATATCGAGAAAAAAATCAAGGGAGGTAAAAAAGAACATTAAAACAGTTAATGTAGTTAGCTCCCTTAATGAGCGTGTTGACAGTGTGAAAACAAGAAGATTAATGGAAGCGGAAAAAAGAAAATCTCATGTGTGCACAGCCGACTCCTACGTCATTCCTTTCCTGTACTTTCATTGGCGAAAAGAAAGTTACACCTCTTGCCATTCGAGTGCGTCCCACAGTATGGTAGAACGCTGGCGAGCCAGTCGTGCGGTGCTGTCAGAATCGCTCCCCAACCCCCCTTACCCATCCCCCCTTCCCCCAGTCTCTCGTGGTGAGACAAGGACCATGGTTTTGGCTGTAACAATAACAAAGAAACGCCTACCCGCGGCCAGAAAGGCTGTAAAAAAGCCCGGTCTTTAGCTTAGAATGTGAAGTGGATTTGTTCGAGATTCGAGTGTTTCGTGTTCTGAGTGTTCAGGAACTTTGTGAAGTCAATACAAAGAAAACATAGGGACTGAATGAAATGGGACCGAACATTATGTCCGAGATACCCGAGAATTCGTGATTTTCGTATTTGAAATTCGTGGACTCTACTGTTGCTTGTTCATTTGTCTTGGTTTTGATGAAAGAAAAAATACCCATCTTTCTTGAAAAAGAGTGGGGTTATTTGTGATTGAAGAAGGTGGGGTTGCCAGGTGTCTAAAGGAAAATGAACCCTATCCATACGCCCTGGGGTCATTTTGTACCTCTGGAGTTGTATTCTTCACATTTTAAAATACTTCTTGTGTGAAGATCTCTTTGAAACTGTCAATATTTCTCCAAAAATCATTAACAGACTTCTATGCAAAACGTACGGATCGGATTAATGAGTAATTTTCCTCTTTGAAAGTGGTGGCACCGAGTCCCCATGTTGTATGGATACGATAGTTAAACATGAAGTACAGATAGGGTTAACGAGACAATGGCCGCCAAAGTATGATGACTTCCAAAAGTTGAGTGTCCTTGGATGCCGCGTATTTGCATTTTTTGTGTGTTAAGCATACACAAATTTTTTGCCAAAATTTTTTATGCCAAATTATTTTACCATTTTTTGATCGTGTTTGGATGATATTGATATCCCTTAAAGTATTGATCTCAAAATTTTGAGTATATCCAAAAAATTAGACATTTTTGGTGTAAACCATCAAATTGTGCGTGTGTGGTACCCCATCAATATTTTGCGCAATCTTCAATTTGTTATTTGCAGCAGGTTAGAAAATATCAACATGGCGCCATATAAAGGGGAGAAAAAATTTCTTCTTAAGCTGTTAGATGTATATCGGAGTTTCCCTGCACTTTTGAAAGTGAAAAGCAATAATTGTTCTGGTAAAAATGAAAAATAAAAGAGATGCATATCAGACTCTTCTAAGATAAATATCGCGAGTGGTATAAGGAAGAGACGAAAGATGAGCTGAAGAAAGTCAACTCATTACTGATGAATTTTAGAAAGGAACTGAAAAAGGTCAGTGACTCCCAACACTGCAGAAACCACTTTTTGCTCCACTTCCGTGTCTTTTTCGTGTTTTTTTTTGCCTGCAGACTGAAGCAAGAGCCAACGCTGTTGGTGCGTCCATGGCTAGGTCTAGGCACTAACTGGTCATTGCGCAATATATGTTGAGCATGTAGGGACAATGCCAAACTGCCAATACTTTTTATGTTAAATGGTTTGACTAAAAGTTTTTGCGTGTATGGGCTACTCTAGATTGTTTTTCCGTAAAATCCACCTTGACACATGTTTTTAAATGTGCATAAAAGGTCAATGGGCGGAAAAATGTTGGGTTTCTTTGATTTCGTTATTTTGACGAGTGCCCGATTTCAGCCTAATGCAACACAAATGTTGTCGTGAACATTTTTCTATATGTGAGTCATGGTGGTGAAATCAAGCGCTCGTCAAAATAATGAAAACTAAGACATCAGCATTTTTCTGGCCGTTGGGCAATTACAATTTTTTTTCGTTTTATGACTCTATTATCCATTTAAATTGCATTGTCTTTGTGGATTTTACTGAAAAACATTGATCAAAGGCGCAAAAAATGTAAATTTCCAGTTCACAAAGACGCTTTAACTTTTTAAGTCACCAAACTTTGGCGGCCATTTTCTCGCTAATTTTGTATCTGAAATCAGGTGACCCCGACCTTCTTCAATTGCAAATATCTCAATTTCTTTTCTAAATACCTGGGTATTTTTTGCCATATGCAAGACAAATAAGAGTTGTTTTAAACCACAAATATATTTACACTGAATTTTAATATTTTAACATTTTAGCATTTTAAAGTCAATTAGTTAACAAATTGTGCTGTGAACTTTTGCGAAAGTAAACAACTTGTGTTTCGTGCGCTCATATGACCTTAGCAGTTGCGAGCGCCGTAAAACCCTATACTACATACATACATACAAGACAAATGACCAAGCTTTAAGATGATACTAACATTTCCATATGCCCAAAAATTGACGAGCGCCTGATTCCACCGTGGTGTGACACATGTCTTTTGCTTCTGTGTTATGTACTCTTAAACTTTTAGCAGCAGGTACCCATTATGTACTTCTACAGTCGCTGCCTTACACACTGATAAAATTCTCAATAATTCATAACCAAAGATTTTGTTGGATCTGGAAGGTCAGTGGGAGTCAAATTTGCTCTTGAGGTCAGCATCCCATACTGCAAAAAACACTGAAACTTGGTCAATTCACTGAAACAATCTGGACTTTTTCGTATGTGTGCTCTTCAGCGGCATAGATCGTCACACTCAAAGAGTCACACTCAAAGAGTGTTCCTTACCAACTTTACAGACACTACTCGGTCCACAGTTTTGACCCTAGCGATATTTACCAACTTGTATTTATAGTGGGTGGGTGGTGTGTGTGTGCCTTGGTGTGGTGTGCACCTTCTTTCCTAGAAAACATTTATCAGCCTATACTCACCTCCTTTTTTTTACGTTTGTTACTCTCTTGTAACACCTTTTTCTAACCGTTGGCATTTATACGACCTTATTGTGTTGCAAGTGCCATAAAACTCGTACAAAAAAAAAAAAAGATTTTAAGAACTGAAACCGAAAAACAGGCTCTCAATGATTGTTTACAAAAATAAAAATTGTCAGGCTCTTAATAATAATTGAATAAAAAGATATTGTTTCAAGCTCTTAATAATTGTTTTAAAGAATTGTTTGCGGGTGGTTGGTGGGTGTTCTGGTGTGTTTTGCTCCTTTTCTATCAAAACATCTATCGTCTTTATCTTTCCTCTTCTGTGTGTTTGTTACTCTCTTGTAACACTTCTAATCTTCGGCACTTATATGACCTTATTGTGTTGCAAGTGCCGTAAAACTGTTACAAATACTAAAGAATTGTTTCTGGCCCTTATTAATTGTTTAAAGCCCTTATTAATTGTTTAAAATAAAACAACTGTTTCAGGCCCTCCTAGAAGAGATTTGAAACCCAGACGTGACCACCGTCCAGCTGGCTGGCAATGTGGGGGGGGGAGTTGGTGGAGGATTGGACTAGTAGCTGAGCGGAGGCGGCCTCTTCTTTCCGAGGGGACGCGGGCTCATCATACTGCTACGTTAGATCCAACGCAACAACATCTTGTGGGAGAAGCAAGCCTTGTAGTATATCTGTGCACTCTTGTTGCTTTCTGTACGTGTGTGTAAGTAAGTGTGTGTGTGTGTGTGTGTGTGTGTGTGTATGTGTGTGCGCGCGTGTGTGTGTGTGAGTGAATGAGTGAGAGGTGTGTTTCGACTCGTGGAGTGCTCATGTGGCAAACAGTTGTCCTGACTAGAATATTTATGTTGAGTGAAAAAAAAAAAGCAACACACCCTATAAAACACAAGACTGTTGTTACTGTATCTATGAAATCAGTGTGCGGAGATAGTGCAGTGATGTCTGGAGTCTATGGACAATGTTTTTTTGTTGTATGCAAATTTATTAGTAATGAGATCTTCGCAGAAGCACATCGATGTGAACATGCCTTGGACCTTGATTAAGGGCAAACTTACTGATTTGTGTATTTGAAATATTTTTCCTCTTCCACCTGCACGTTTATGTTTAATTATTTTGAAAAAGAAAACTTGATAGGGTTTTTGAGTTTGTTTTGATTAGGTCTTGTGATGTGAGACTGGAAATAATGCAGAATGTGGACGGAAGGTTGATTGCTTGTTTTTGGCTTCTTAATTACGCATGTGTTTTCTTTAATTGAATATTGGATATTGAATGTGTTGCTCCAGAGGTTTGAGTGGGATAAAAGTGAAGCGGCTTATTGTATAAGTTTGTGAAAATGTATTGTTTTTTCACCTTTTTAAAAAATGATTGAAATGACAGACGGAAATCTTGAGCAAAATACCTTCAGTCATATGTGAATTTTATGGACTTCCTCGAACCATGCTTCCCAATGACTAACAAGGCTTTCACTTGGGAATTAGTAGGGATACTTTTGTGTTTATCTGCAAAATTTGTGGTTTTGTTTCCTTTTGTTTGTGATGTTTTAGTGAATTTTTTTTTTCTTTGCAAAAGTGTTTGTTCAGAAGCCTGTAGATAATAGTATCATTTGCACACCCTGAATTATCCAGTGTGATAATTATTAGGAAGAGATTCTGACTATTCTTCTTCTGTTAATGCTGAGGGGTGTAGTGGACCATTCGTTCATGGAGATATCTATATATATATTTTTTCATTTTTAGAAAGTAACATTGTGGTTGTTTGACTGCTACAAGAGAATATATGAGGTGTACTGTTGACTGTGTCATGCATATTACTTTCTTTCATGTAACAATGTTTATTTGCATACGTTAGCGCTGTTGTTAGCGCTGTTGGTTTTATGACCTTGTGTAACATTTTTCTGATTAAGGTAGGATGTTCTATAATGCGTGCACACTGAAAACAAGGTGGAAGGAATGGATGGTTTGGATTCTGTCTGTATATATTCTTGTTTGAGGGGAAGACTCCACCCCAGTTATGGTTAGTGGGTGTCCCCGTTAAGTATCTCTTCATTTCCTTTGCCTTGCCCTTTGGTTTTTCCACGCTGTGTTTCTAAAAGTTTGTCTGCTCTGTGAGGGTTTGCTGCAGACAGGAACTTTCAGCTGGTGGGGGTCTGTAGTCAAAGTGGGTTCTGTCTGCAATATGCTAGGGGGTGAAGGGAACTGACGGTGCAGAGTCCCTGAAATGGTGTTTGTATGAGGTCCACACTTTGTCAAAATATTTTATCTGATGTATGTTATATATGTTATAATAAATGGAGACATTTGACTTAACTGCACTGAGTGAGCTCGATTGTGAAAGATTGCTGAGAGTTTCTGCCGTGTACTGCATGAAGTAATTGCTGTTGTGAGGATGAGTCACTCTAGACTTAAGAGCAGGGGATCAACTGAGTGTACTTTGTAGGATTCTTTGGCAAATGATTTATATATGTTAAGGTTGATACTGGAACCCTTGTGTAAAGAGAAAGATACATTTTGTATTGGGAGGTTGATATTTGAGCGCAAAAGTAAAGATAAAAAAACTTTGCACAGTTTAGATATCTTTGGTAACTGGCATGCTATTGTGGAAATGGCTCCTGTGAAAATATGCATGGTTTTAGTTTGTCTTTTTATTAATCTTAAAGTCCACCACTTTTTCTTCTTTTCTTTCCAAGTGAAACACAGCTTTAAAAAGTGTTCTCAATGATTGAGTTTTCTTTTTTTGAAGTGTTTGGTGGACTGACAAAAGTATTGTAGCTTGGCTATTTGTGTTTTTTTGACTGGACTATTGTCGAATGTGAATACATTTATTGTCTTCCTCTGCAAAGGAAGAAAGGATTTTTATATGCTCCTATCAAGGCTTGGATGGCCTTTGTGTGGCCACACAGACTGTTACTACTGCCATTGGTGTTGTCCGATAAATCTTTCCATCCATCCGCGTGATAAAAGTCCTTGTCACATTCCATTCCTTCAAGCAAAATTCCTAGTGGAGAAGCCGCTGGTTGAGCAGTTCCTTCCTCCAGGCGTGCCCTATAAATGTTGGACCTCATGAAGAAAATGTTTAGGGTTTTGGTTTTTTTCTTCATGTCGTGTGTTCGTTTATGTTTGCGTGCATTTGTTCAAGAGAACGGTAGTGTAGAAACCGTTGTGTTTTCCCCTCCTGCCTATGCCATGTGTGGTGGTGGGGGGAGGAGAGGGATATGTGTAGTAAAGTGAATGTGATGTGCTGCCTGACCCAACTCCTATGCTGCCTTACTTACACAGACCACACAGTTCAGGGTGGATGCAAGCTGATTTGTGAACATGATGTGGGTTATGTGTATTTTTTTTTGCAGATGTTCTGGGAATTTGTTACGATAGGTGAATACTTAGAGGAGATACGTGTACAACCTTATTGTAAGTGTCAGACTGGTGTTTTGATTTGCTTCTCACTCCATACCTATGGAAATGCCCCTAAAAGCAGTGTGAAGGATCAGGGGTTTTCACTTTTGTTCATAGTTGCCGCTCTGGTTTGACTACGGGGTCTGCTGGAAGTTGGCCGAGGTTAAATGCCATTGCGCCGTTTCCAGCATGGGTTGTGCCTATACTGTGCCATTTTGGCTAGACACAGGCCTGTTGCTAGTATTTTTGTTTATCCTTCCCAACCGGGCGTGCAGCCATGAGCCTTGACAATCACTGGCCAAATGTTTTCATGTAATGCAAAATACACCGGGCTCTAGGTGGTGACTGGAATGTGAAACCTCTCGCTGCTACTGATTTTGGGAGGGTCAAGAAAAGGTATGCTATGGGGCAGGGGAAGAATCAGTTGGATCAGCCTGTTAGTGTTTAGCCCAGATCGGGTGAGGAGAAAGTCCATCACTCGGTCACAATCTGACCGTAGGTACAGTAAGTAAACTGAGTAAGGTGCCCACCCCCAGACTGTCTTTGGTTTGGAGTCTGAGAGTGGGCATGTTGGCCAGGACTCCTGTTCAAAACCATGGATGTTGTTATTGACCTTTTTGGGGGAAGGGATCATGTCATTTATATGTGTATGTGAGCGAGAAGACTGCAGTGATTATATTTATATATATGCTTATTGTCTTGGGGTTTGAGAAAAGCGCAAGTGTTGAGTTGATGTGGGGAATGTGGACAGACATTTTGTTTCAGCTATGCTTCTTTCTAGCATCAGGGAGGAAATGCCAGCCTCAAGAGATGACCCGTGTCTCTCTGACTGTGCTCTTTTTGATGAGCGCTTGAAGTCTAGAATGTTGAAAAGAAAAGGAAACAAATGTTGAAGACAAGTTAACATCTGCCATCACTGTTTCTGATAACCCATTCTTTTTCTTCTGTTGGTGTGGTACATTTGCATGAACATTTGTGTGTATATTTTGTTGGAATATGTGCTTGTGTGTGCACATGTATGTAGTTGAGTTTGTGTGTGTGTGTGTGTGTGTGTGTGTGTGTGTGTTTGTTTACACACAGAGATAAGGGAAAAGATGGAAGGGATCTTTGCATGTTACACTTTAGCATTTTTTTGCTGTTGTAGTAGGCTTGACCTATGGTGATTTGCCCCTGTGAGTCAGTTTGTTCTCTCTAGGGGCACTGTACATAGCTTGTAACATAAGATATGGACTTTATTATTATTATTACTATAGCATATCATAAACTCTCATCCTTCTTTCTGTATTCAATGAGTAATATTTGCTACTTTGGACAAACTTGTGCATTTTATGGTTAATTAATTTCTCGTGTGATTTTCAAGAATATCCATTGTTTTCAAGCTGTGTTGACATTTTACTTGACAGGAAACTAATGTCGATGAAGTCTGGACCGTTGGGCTAACATTGTGAGAAGGGAAATTTAAATTCTGGTTAATTTCCTATTAAAAAATTATGTGAATGCTATTAGTTGTTTTTTTTGAGCTTGTTGAAGCTTTTGGTTTTTTTCTCTCAGGAGTTATTGTTGTTGAAAAGCTTGGTTGTAGAGTCGCTGTTCTTTAGTGTTCTGGGGATCTATATTTGGTGAGTCGCCGGGTGTTGAACTAAACCAGCTGCGGTCTGGTGCATGGCCTCGGATTATTTTTCTTCATACTTAACTTCCCTCGGGACACTGACTGCTCTGGAGGTTAGTGGTGTCACTCAGAGGTTGCGCCTGAGGGGAGTACGTCTGCATTTCCAGAAGTTTCTCATGTTTGGAACATATTGTGTCTGATGAGAATGGTTGTCCTGTGCCTCTCTTCGAATCAGTTTTCGTTTGCATCATTCCTTATTCCTAGCCCTGTCAGTTCTGACTTAATACTTTTTGAGCTTACTGCTGTACTCCACCACGATAACATGTTGTTAGCCTGTACCACTCCACTGTTTGTCTCTGAGATGAAACTGTGCACCCCTTTTAACTAAGACATCTAGAGATATGTTCTTGATTGTTGGAAGGAAGACATACTCTTTTAAGAGGGCGTAATTTATAGAACTTGATGAAATACCTTTCCAGAGTATTTTCACGGGCGATGTTACAATATTCTTTTCGGCCAGACAGTATTTGTTATTTCTCTCATTTTTTGCATTTTTCTAATTTCTCCAGCTTCTCATGATTTAGTAAGGTATAGTCTCTGTGGTGTGTTTGCGAACTTGATTGAATTCATTAGTGCTAGGAACACGAAAAGAGCCTACGGGTTGTACCTGATAAAAGGATGAATCATCCACAAAGGTACGCACCTTTGTTGTACTCCAGCGTGCTGAATTTAACGGAAATTTTTATATATATATATATACTGACTGAGCTATTGACTTGATGATTTATTTCATGTGTTCATACCAGGGTTTCGGAGTTGGATTTTTTTTCTTGGACGTAATAATATTTTTCCAGGGCAGATTGTCTTTCATGAAGTGTCTCATGCTTTGTTCATGATCAGGCTGTTGGAACTAGTAGTTTTTCTGCGACTCCTCATCCTTGTCTGATCTGATAAGTCGGGGGGGGGGGGTTTCAACAAAGAAAAAAACTCCCCAACAACTTGCAGTAGACAAACGGTGATTGGAATCAATACAAATGTTTTCTATGAAAAGAAATACAGTGTAGGTCGGCATTATTTTTTTCTTTTTTTCGTTGCCACAAATAGAGCAGAAGATTGTATGTATCCAGCAGTTTTTTTGGAGCACTTCTCAAAATTGTTGGGAAATGTCTGCTGATAGGTTCCCCAGCTTAAGGTCATGTACAGTGTTAGACTTGATAGGGAATTTTTTTTCGAAAGTACCCGATACTTTTCTATTCGTGTAGGTGTTCAAGAAAGGAATACAGTTGTTACCTTGATCTGTACAGGCAGTTATACAACAATGTTTATTTGTCTTGTGGTGTTTGTGTGTGTGTGTGTTCGAGTGTGAGTGTGTTTGTGAGAGTGTGTGTGTGCGTGTGTGTGTGTGTGTGTGTACGCGTGCGTGTGTGTGTGTTCGGGTGTGTGTGTTCGGGTGTGTGTGAGTGTTCGGGTGTGTGTGAGTGTGTATTGTACTTAACTGTTGTAGATAGCGACACATTCCCTGTGTTCACACAGCCTGGAGGATCCATGACAAGCGTTGACCTTTGACCTTGCTCTCGACCAAACTGTGATGCCTTCTTTCATCGATGATGATAACAAAGCTTCTGGCGCGCCCCCACCCCCCCTGAATCAATATGGGTTCCATCTACAACGCTATCTGCAGGTTGTTGATGGGTGCTTCGCCTGCACATTCTTCTCCCCTCTTCTCTCGTCAGCGTTTCTGTTTTCCTACTTCAGTGTTCCAAGGGAAATGGGAGGGGCGGGGAAGGGAGGGTGGGGGGGTTGTTGCTAATTTGTCGACCAGTAATAGGTTTACATTACAATGGAATAACGACGACACAATTGCAATTGTGTGTCAGATGGAACCATTTGGATGTGGGAACGTCGAACAGTCTCTGTATTTATCATGTGAAGCTACTATGTGATTCCTGATGACTTTTGGGCCAACTTCTCTGCACGTTAGGATTTATGTTCAGGTGTCCCCCCCCTCCCTCTTTTTTTCATATAATTTTGTGAGGCACCCCCCGCCCGGAAGTTTCACTGTTGGTCAAAGTGTACTTTCAGATAGCTGGCTTGGTTTCTTGCTTGCTGGCTCTCTTGGAGCCGTTGGTTTAATGCTGTGAGCAGCCAGGCTGTGTGGAGGTCGATTTGACTTTTACTTAGACTATGACTATGATGTGGTTTTAACCCCTTTTACCCTCTTGTTGGTCTTGGGGAGGAGGCACTGACTTTTTAGAGTTTAATTGATTGCCTGTTTTTAAAAGTTTCATATACTAATGTTACAAGA